TTTTTTTTTTTTTTAATATATGTGCATAGCTGTTTTGCCTGCATTTGTATGCATGTCTGGGTGGACGGTAGAAATCAAACTATGGTTAAAAGCAGCTGCTCTTAACTGAGCCATCTCTATGTATTCCTGGCTGTTTTGAAACTGCTATGTAGACCAGGCTGGCCTTGAACTACAAGAGATAATCCTGTCTCTGCTAGGAATAAAGGCACACCCACCCCCAAAATTAGTTTTTTTTAATTTTTTTAAATTTTAAAAAGTATGTGTCTATAAAACAATGTATGAGTGAACAAGTATGTTTGGACACTAGGCATCTCGCTATCAAACAGTGATCATTAAAACTTCCTTTCCCTTTTATAAACTAGTCCTTCAGAAGACAGCACACTAGCATCTCAGGATGCTTGTTCTATAAATGACAGCCTAGACTCACAGATGACCCCTACCCCTTACAATAACCACATGACTATAACCCCATACATTGTCTTCCCTGTAACTTTTCACCAAATTGTCAACCAAATTCAAATGAACTGATTTAAATGATACTGAATTCAATTTTCTCACTGAGATTGTGGCAGACAGTTTAAGAAAGAGAGAAGTGACTCATCCAGATGCAAAAGTGAAAAAAAAGTTAAGAGAAAAAAATAAATTTGCCAGAGAGCCAGCTATAGATGAGAAAGAGTTTTCTCACTGGAAGCTTGACATTGTAAATGTATACTGAGCCACTAGTGTCCCAGGCCTGTAATCCTAATACTTGGGATGTAGAGGCCAGCCGTGGCTACATGACTCTGTCTCAAAAAAAGTAAAAGAAAAAAGATATCGTGAACACAGTTCTCAGAAACAAACACCTTCATAGTTCCATCAACCTAAGAAATTATAAGAGGAAATAAAATATCTAAGTACCTGACTGACTGACCCTCTTACTACAAATGTCTGAGCTCGTGATACCAGAAGAGGGTTATTACCTTTGGGATATCTCCTTTAATACCTGGGGGCAGCCGCAGGATCCAGAAGTTCCTATTTCTCAACAAGTTCTCCAGGTTCTCCAGCCGCCGCTGCAGCAGCCCGTACTCCTGCAGCAGGGTTCCCAGCACGGCCCACTTGCCATCCAGCTGGTTCCCAAGCTCCGTCACTGTCTTTTCACAGCCAGCTAGTTTCTTCTCTGCCGTCCCTGTCCTGCCTTCTAGGTGGAGGAGCCTCCGGCTGTGGACCTCCACCTTCCTCTCTATGGCCTGTACAGCAGCCACCACCGTCCACAGGGAGATGGCTGCGGTCTGCAGGTGTGCCTCATTTGCTGCTGGAGGGGTAGGAAGAGGAAGGGGCTGCAATGATGTGAGGCATTCCGAGTCCCATTCAGAGGTCTGTGTGCAATGGAAAGATGGGGCAAGACACTGAGAGTTAGAATGAATCCCGACTCTAAACCAAAACCAGATAAAAACTACTTAACTGCTGGGTGGTGGTGGCCCATGCCATTGATCCCAGCATTTATGAGACAGAGACAGGTGGATCTCTGTGAGTTCTAGGCCAGGGCTACACAGAAAAACCCTTTCTTGGGGGTGTGGACTACTTAACTGTCCAGCTGACATTAACCAAAATAGCTTTAGTGCAGCTTTATAGTGCCCGTGTCAGCCTTGTTGCTCTGAAAGCTGTTGGCATCAGAAGCCAAGGGAGCTGTTCATTCAAGGAAGAATAGGGAAAGACAGTGAATGAATAAATGGCTTAAGGCTGGTCTGGCCATTTCCTCTCTAAGGCGCAAACGTCGAGGTTGCTGTTGCCCCCTCCATCCCTGGAAAAGGCAGATGGACACAAGGTTTTTCATCAGGTCTCACTGACCTCAGGACGCTCTGACAAATCTCTTGTGAATTTATACTCTAGCCCTGTCTATCACCCAGTCTATATACTACAACTGTATCAATTAGTAATAATCGAACAAGCTGAGGGCGTTTAGTCTAGAGAAAATATGACAACCACTTTCAAACACTCGAGAATTAGGAAATAGAATATAGAACAGATTTGTTTAATCTTACACTATAAAACTCTAAAGGACAGATTAGAAAAATACATGGAAATTTTCTGACTGGTAACAATATTTGAATCAGATTTTTTTTTCCAAGTAAGTCACAGACTGTTTGTTCATTACTAAATGTACTCTGTAACAAAGAGTATCATAAAAGGAAGAAATCTATACAACACATAGGAGGTTAGACTAAGCCTAGACAAGGCCTAATTCTCTGAACCTGAGCAACCACTCTCTGGCCACAGCCTTCTATTTCCACATTATGCACTATCTTATTCTCATTTCATCTGCTGTCCAACCCATTATTTATAACTCTAGTCCTATGATGATTCCATTTGCTCATGGCTGCACACGGCTTTGCTTTCTTCCCTGCTTGACCATTTCAGCCACGCTTCACCCCATTTCACTCGTCTCTATGCCTCACTTACTCAGCTGACGTCCTACTTTGAATGAGCTGAATCACTGCCCCCCCTTTTTTGCTTCTACAAGCAGTCAGGTGAGACCTAAAAAGAAAACCACACACGAGGTGAGGTGCTTTCAGCACACACCAGCAATCAGTGCTCTGTGGTACACTGGACACTAAGTACCCTCCAGGCATTTACAAACTCTCAAACTTATGTACAACAGAATCACCTAGAAAATTGGGCAATTGGCTAGTGAGATGGCTTAGCAGATAAAGGCACTTACTGTCAAGCCTGATTATCTGAGTTCAAGCCCTGGGATCCAAATGGTGGAAGAAGAGAATCAACCCCCCCCCCCCAAGTTGTCTCCTGCACTGAGGAAACTGAGTCAGGAGAACTGCTGTGCCTTTGAGTCCAGCCTAGGATACACAATGAATACCAAGCTGACAAGGGCTACAATAGCAAGAGCTTAACCTCAAGTCCCGATCATTGACAGTGTAATCAGAGTACATATTTTCATTCCTTCGGTGTGTGAAGAAAATGGAGATGGTGTACTTTAAGCAAGGACTTGGGTGATGGATGCAGCATCTGCTGATTCAGGGAGCACACAGGGATGGCAGACACCTGTCCACATAACACTCCCACTCTACAGGGATGCCATGGTGTCAGCCAGGAGGGAGTGACACATGCCTTTATTTCCAGCACTAGGGAACCAGACGCAAGCAGATCTCTGTGAGGTCAGGGCCAGCCTGGTCTACATGTTTTCATTCTTTCTTAAAGGAAGAAGTTTCATCTTATTTAAAGACTTCTTTAAAGCCAGTCTCTCCACTTGTACTCTGAATACCAACCTTCTACCTTATAAGGTACATTAAAAAAATAATAATAATAGCAGGTGTGGTGGCATGTACCTTTGATTCTAGCACTTGCAGAGGAAGGACTATTTCTGTGAGTGAGTTTGAGGCCAACCTGATCTACATGTTGGTGGTTAGGGCTAAATAGTAAGACTTTTTCTCAAAAAGACTCAATAGTGGTAATAGTAGTTGTTGTTTTGTTTTGTTGTTGTTGTAGCACCAGCCGCAGCAGCAGTAAAAAAAAAGTGCTCAACCAGAAATGAGGCATCCACATCACTGCCCAAACACAAGGCTCAGGGACCATTGGAAGAAGCAGCACAGCAAGATTCTAAGACCCGAGGCTGGACTGGGGAGAAGCAGTTTTACTGAACTCGACAGGACTGCTGCACACACGAGCTTCCACCAGCTGTGGCTGCGTGCCTAAAATAAAGCTAGTCAACATTACAACACTGAAGGGGAAGAGGAGGTCCATGACCCCCCTCCCCCCGTCATAACTAGGGAGCTGTGGCAACTGTCCATTTTTTAAGGGTGTGGACCCTGGTGGGTCAACAACATTCTAGTGATTGGCCTACACCAAAGAGTGTATGAGAAACACAAACCAGACTCCATGGGCAGTGCCGGAAACCTTTGAGAAGAGGAGGGAGATAGACCTGGAGGGGACAGGAACTCCACAAGGAGAGAACAACAGAGCCAAAAACCCTGGGCCCAGGGGGTCCTGCAGAGACCAATACTACAATCAAGGACCATGCATGGAGAGGACCTAGACCCCCTGTTCAGAGGAGGCCCATAGGCTGCTCAATTTCCAAGTGGGTTTCCTAGTAAGGGGTACAGGGGCTGTCTCTGACATGAACTCAGTGGCCTAGTCTTTGATTACCTCCCCCTGGGGGGGTGCAGCCTTCCCAGGCCACAGAGGAAGATGATGAAGCTAGCCTTGGCTAGGGTCAGATAGAAGGGGAGGAAGTCCTCCCCTATCAGGGGACTAGGGAAAGAGCAGAGGGGGAGAAGAGGGAGGGTGGGTGGGACAGGGAGGAGATGAGGGAGGGGGCTGCAGTGGGGATACAAAGTGAATAAATAAATAAATAGATTTTTTTAAAAAGACACAAAACTGAGGGAAGCTGGTAAGGGAAGGAGGAGTGAATCTGGAAGGAATTAGGAGGAAGAGTGGGTTGAAAATGAATCAAAACACATTCTATGAAATTTCAAATAAAGATATTTTTAAACCATTTAGATTTATCTATTTTATGTATATTAGTGTCTCGCCTTCATGTATGGGGTGCCACCTGCATGCCTGCTGCCCTCAGGGGTCAGAAGAGGGTGTCGGATACTCGAGAGCTGGAGTTAAAGATTGTTGTTAGCCCCAATGTGACTGTTAGGAACCAAACGGATTACTCTGCAAGAGCAACTGGCGCTCTCAGCTGCCCAGTCATCTCTCAAGCCCCTAAAAACATCTTAAAATTAAAAAATGCCAGTATCTCCCAGTTCTTCTTCATAAAACAGACTTGCCCTGGTCAACACTGTAGCCACCGATTCCATGTGCTCACTGAGAACCTGAAATGTCAGTTCAATTCACTTTTGATCACTACTGATATGGTATTTTTGCATAAATTGAGCTAAATAAAAATTCACTGAAATTAACCTCTTTCTACTTTTTTCTTTCTTTCTTAAGACACATGACCTGGCTATTTGGCCAATAGCCAAATTTCTGATCTTCCTCTCTCAAGACCCCCAAGTGTGGGCCATCATGCCACCGTGGTGGTTTTACCTCCTAAACATGACTACAAGAGAATTAAAAGTATGTGCACAGTTTCCAGCATGTACCTATAGAATACATGATGGTCTCTATTATCTTTCTTTTAAGTTTTTTTTTTGGGGGGAGGGGGAGGCTTGGAAAAAAATTTAAGCTCCACGATTTGTATTTATATCCGCTCCATTTCCCATTCCACCCCACTGCTCCCCTCTTTTCTTCTTCCTTCTCTTAGCCACTCCTCAGCGGACCTGCCTGGCTTCTGACCCATCAAAACATCTCTGAGAGCAGACCAAAGGCTTCTTAGGTGGCAAACCCAAGCAACACTTTCCAGTGAGAACGTTCTGTTAAACAACCCTTCCCTCTCCCCTAATGGCTGTGTGCAGGGACTGTCCCGGTTGTGCCGCTGGCCCTGGCACCGGTGCGTGCACGGTGGGCCCAGCGCAGGCCTGCGGCAGAGAGGCACACGCACGACCGGCCGAGCCTACGCTCCGCCGGGCTTCCCAGGTCGCCGCAGGGCCTCGGCCTGTCCGGGCGCGCGCCGTAGCCCGCTGAGGGCACGCCTTGGCCGCCTGGCAGGTAGCTGTCCTGCGGCACCTGGCAACGACAGCCCTCCCGGCTGCAGAGGACGGCCGGTGGGCTTCAAAAGCACCTCCAGCCCGGTTCTGCGGGCTGACACGAAGCCCCACGGCGCGGTGGGCCAGACACAGCGGACCCGCGTCCCCGCGCACCCCGGCGCTGCGGTCCGCCGTGGCCCTCGGGGCGGGCGGCAAGGCCCGCCGCCGCCCCCTGCCTCCTCGCCTGCCCCCGAGCCCCGGCTGACGGAGGCGCCCGCGCACCGTCGCCCTTACCGGAGCGGCGGTCGCCTCGGCCATGGCCCTGAGCTGCCGGGTCCGATCCCGAGGGTCGCCGCCGCACGCAGGCCCGGCCGCTTGCCGCTCCACCGCAGACGGCGAGCAGCGGCCCCGCGTTGCCCGCACTGACAAGCCTGGCTTCCGGGAGCGCTGGGCCGCCGAGGAGCCCGGTAGCTCTGCAGCCTCCGCCGCACCGGCTGCAGCCGCCGCTCAGCTGGCGCTTTGTGGACAGCGAGGACCGCAGGCGCCGCGCCGGCCTAGACGCAGCCCCTCCGCCCGGTCCGCCCGGGCCAGCGCGCCCCCTGGCGGCCCGCCTGCGGCGCACCCTCCCGGAGGTCAGCTTCTGAGGTGGAGGCCCCCACCCCACCGATTTGGTTGATTTTCCCCGGTTCGTCTGAGAAGGCCCGGCAGATGCTAGGAGGTTTGAGGCCCAGGGAGCGGCGCGTGGGCTGCACGATAGCCCACTCGACTACCAACGTAAAAACGAGTGAGTCAGCTGGCAGTGATGGGAGCTGTATCATTCGTAGAAATTACAAACGGGTGAAGCCGATCACTCATGTTGGCACCAGAGACTCGGATTCGTTGGATGATCGCCTCTCTTGGGTCGCTTTCTCTTGGCTGAGAAAGGGGCTTTTTATTAAGATTTGTTCCTTTTCTTTTTATGTTTATGAGTGTTTGCCTACACTTGGATGTCTCGTGCCTGTGGAGGCCAGAAGAGGGTGAAGGATCCACCTGGAACTGGAGCTACAGACAGTTGTGAGCCGCCCTGTGGGTGCTGGAGCCAAATCCAGACGGTCTGCTGAGCCATCTCGCCAGCGCCGAGAAACGGCCTTTTTGAGGCCAACAAAAATAAAAGCTTTTGCTTAGGTCTGCTGGATCTGGAGTAAAGCAACAAGCGGGGACAAAGTGGTCTGTTTAACAGTCTGTGTGGTAGAAAGGTAAAAAACACAGTCATAGCTTTTCAGCACATCGCTCTTTTCAAACGGGTATGAATCAAAGTCTTCTCAGACCTGTATTTCAGTAAGTGAATCCAGTCAGTGCCCTCAGCAGTAGACGCAATTCCCGAGAGCATAAGGATCATGCCGTCGGGCCACTTCCGCTTGAGCATACTGTGGCATCTCAATAGTGCATTACCTTCTATGTAAGTTCATCCAGATAAACCCGAACCGTGGTGCATAGTGCATAGTTAAGAGATAAAGTCACCATTCTCTGAAACAGAACATTACTATAACGGAATGAACTTGAAGAAGATGGAGGAAGAGGAAAGAAAAGAAGACAAAAAGAAAGGAAAGAAGGAAGAAGGGGATAGAGAGCCTGACCTCGGGAAAATTACTTAGTAATTTTATTATTAAAAGTCATAATTTAAAACGTTGGCCTTAGAGGGCACGAACAAAGCCTGTTATGGTGGTACTTGCCTTTAATCCTAGGGAAGCAGAGGCAGGAAGTTTCTGTGAGTTTAAGGCCAGCCTGGCCTACATAGCAAGTTCCAGGCCATCTAGAGCTACACAGTGGGACCCTGTAATTTTCAAGTTCTCTATTTCTCTAACTGTTGGCTGCTTCTCTTGCTATTAAACGTTGACATTTGTATCACTAAACAACCCTTGACTTTTTATTTTTATTTACCTAGACATGTAGCCTAGGCAGTACAGGACAGCCTGAAACCCCTGATCCTCCCACCTCCTTACATATCGTCCTTCCTTACAGGTTGCATAAGACGCTTTCGGCTGAGCTCCACCAAGCCTCAGGACTCACTCTGCCTGTTCAAAATGACGGTAAGATCGCCAAGCTGTTAAATGTTTCCTCCACTAGCAAAGCAGTTCTCTCTCAACCTGTGATCCCCCTTGGGGGATCACACATCAGATATCCTGCATGTCAGATATTCATCTTATGATTCAAATGTAGCAGTAGCAAAATTACAGTTATGAAACCTCAACAAAACAATTTTATGGTTGGGGGTCACCATCACAGGAGGAACCGTATTAAAGGATCACAGCATCAGGAAGGTTGAAAACCACTGCTGCTCTTGCAGGAGGACTGGAGTCCTGTTCCCAGAACTACACGGCAGCTGGCAACCATCCGTAACTTTAGGCCTAGAGTTTCCAGTGGTCTCTTCTGGCCTCCAGCTCCTGCACTCACATGATGTACAGACACAAAAGCTCACACACATAAATAAAAAATAAATCTGAAAACAAGCAAATGGGGCTCAGTGGTTAACAGCACTTGCTGCTTTTGCAGAGGACTGGGGTTCTGTTCTCAGAGTTGACGAGGTACTGTTAGTCATCTGCAACTCCAGCGCCAGAGGATCCGATACTCTCCTCTGTCCTCCACAGTACTTCATGATCCTAACTATAGACATACATACAGGCAACTAAAACACCCAGACACAAAAAGTAAAATAAGTAAATCTTCTTTAAAAACAAACCTTTCGTGTACACTCACATTATAACACTGTGTAATCCAGCTGTTATAGGATTACGACAGCTGTAATCCAGGGCTGTCGTCTCAGAAAAGTGAGAGCACACGCTTATCCAAAGAACCCTAATGATTGTACTAGCCAGACAATTGAAACAGCTCAAATGTCTCACAGCAGGAGAGTGGTTGCTTAAACTGTTAAACCTATACCTTGGAAAATAAGATATCGAATACAACATACATCAGTATCAATTCGCCAGTTTTGATATTGTACATATTTTCTGTACAATCTTTGTAACTTCCTGAGTATCTGTAATTGTTTCAAAAGAGAAAGTTTTTTTTAATTAACATAACCAGCAAGAACTAAACCCAGTCTTATATAGCAATGATTATCTTCCCTAAATAATTTATCTCCTTTTAGATGGGATGCGTGTTCCAAAACTGGCTAGTCAATCACTCTCTTTGCTTTATATCTATGATTCTTTTGTCATGTTCTTCATTGTGTGGAACCATTTAAAGGTAGTCATAGATATCATCATCTATACATAAGCATAAGTGTGTTTTCTTTGTGTCTTTTGCTTACTTGTTTTAACTCTATGTATGTAAGTATTTGGCCTGCATGTATGTATGTCCTCCATGGGCATGGCTGGTACCTTTGGAGACCAGAAGAGGCCTGTAGTGGAAAGCCACCTGTGGCAGTCTTTTCAAAACTCTCCTTATTTGGGGTGCTTAGGCCTCTACCTCCCTTCCACCTACCCCCCACCCTTAAGTAGGAGAGAAAAAAGGTTAGTGGGGAGAGGAGGCCCAGGCCCCTTTACTCCTCCCAACTATTTAGGGTCAAGGGATTTCTTTAGGGCTCTATCCCTATCTCCATCAACCACAAACACAGCTAGCAGTCCCCTCTATGCTGTTGTGCCCTGAAGTATTTCTCTCTGTCTGTCTGCTCCAAACCACCACACGGTCCTGGTCTCTGGTCTCTCCACACTGCTACACGCCACACAGAATGCCACCACAGGCATCTCTTCTTCTCTTTATACTCATGGTCCTAGACCACGCCCCTCTCCATGCCACACGTGAAAGGCCTTTACCAGCTGGCAAAGATCATGCCCCATGTGTGACAATTAACAGGTGTGGACAAACTATAGCTTAACTAAAATCCCACACTTGGGATTAAAACAAAAACTTATTTACCTAACATAACTGAGTTTGTTAGGGTCTGAATCTCATAAAAAAAAGACCCCAGACTCACATAGAATGCAAATAGCAGAGAACAATAGTTTTTTGCAGAACTCCATCGTGATGGAGTCTCCACCCTGACAAAAAATGGTAAAGACCCAGAAATGGGCTTGCAGTCCCTATTTATAGACAGTCAGTTAGCAGAATTCCAGGGATGATTAGGTGATCTTTATCTTGAGTGGTAGGCAGCCAGCGAAGGGGTACAGGGCCAGTCCTGATTGGCCAGGAGCTTAGGGACTTTCCCAAGTAGCTCTGATGTAACTATATCTGGGCCAGCCAGACATTGGGGCTGATGCTGATTGGTTGCCCTTTCCCTGTAGTTTCTCTTTTTAGAAACTGAGACGCAAGCCTACTCAGGTAAAGTTAAGACTAGAGCCTGTCATGTAGTCAGAGTGTCCTGATGTTGGGTGGGCTAGAATTAAGAGCTCTCAAGTTTAAGAAAAAATAACAACTTTACAGAGGGCCCTTGGAACTGGAGTTACAATTGTTAGATGCTATATGGGTGTTGGGAATCAAGCCCAGATCATCTGCAAAAACAATGTCTTAGTTACTTTTTCATTGCTTTAATAAGACATAATGAACCAAGGCAACATATAGAAGAAAGGGTTTATTGGAAGCTTATGGTTTCAGAGGGTTAGAGTCATCATGGCAGGAAGCAGGGCAGCAGGCAGGCAGGTGTGGCACTGGTAAAATGGTTGAGAGCTTATATACAGATCTACAAAATAAGAATGGCCAGCATCTTTTGAATCCTCAAACCCTGGTTTTAGTGACAGACTTCTTTCAACAAGGCCACACCTCCAAGTCCTCCTAATCCTTTTTAAATAGTTCCACCAACTAGGTACAAGTATTCAAACATATGAAACCACAGGGGCTGTTCTCATTTAAACCACCACGAGCAACAAGTGTTCATAGACATGGAGCCATCTCTCCATCTCTAATTTTTTGTTTGTTTGTTTTTGGAAACGGGATATAGCATTGGCTGGCTTGGCACTCACTCTGTAGACTATGCTGGCTTCAAACTCAGAGAATCACCTCTGCCTCTGCCTCCCAAGTGCTGGGATTAAAGGCATGTACCACAACACCCTGTAGTGACAATTTTGGAATTTTAGTTTCTTTAAAAACATGAAAATATTATAGATCGTGTTTTCATTTTAATCCCAGGTATAGGGATGTGGGGCTTCTTCAGGCCATCTGCAGCAACTGACTATGATTTGTCTCATGCTCTAGCAGAAGCATGTTTTGCCAGCTGCACATAAGTTCTACAATTGTGTGACATTTGGAATTCTGAAAACTTTTGAGAGGGTATGTAAATGCTAGGGCCCTGAGAGGCAGGGTTGGTGGTTGTTGGTCATTTAGAGAGGTTGGTTGCAGTTGTCAAAGAAGAAACAAAAGAAAAGAAAATAGATTCAGGGATTTCCCTAATTCCTCTCTCCCCTCTATCCTTGTTTTTCTTCTATCTAGTGTTAGGAGGTAAAACCAAGGGGATAAAGGGAGGCAAAAAGGAGAAGCCACAAAGGAGCAAAGACCAGCTACAAGTGACACTCAAACATGGAGCTTGATAAAGAAAAAATGGGGGATTTGATTTCAAATGCCAAAGAGGAAATGGCAGGAATTTTTTTTTTTTTCAAGAGGCCAGCGGGGGGGGGGGGGGGGGGAATTATTGTAGCTGCTATAATTCCAGAGGGAATTTTCTTTTTCTTTTTTTTTTCCTTTTTCTTCTTCATATATTTTGTTTCAAAATAGTTTGAAAGAATGGCTGAGAAGTTGGAGAAATTGCAGGTGAAAATGGAGGGACCTGATGGGGGAAAACGGCTGAAATGGGTAAACAAAACGGATCACTCTACTCTTTCTATCTGAAAGGGTTGCAGAGTTGGCAGTGCAACTGAAGAAGTTGCAGGTGGAGATAGAAGCACCTGGGAAGTGAGGAACACAGGAAAAGAGAGAAGAAAAATAGCTCAGTCAAGAGAGCAGGAGTTTTCCAGTGGAAGAAAGAGGGAAAGAAACTGTGAACCAGGGTGGTCAGTGTTTACTCTATAGCCACTGAGTTGAAACCTACTTTAGTTCTTAGCATAACAGCTATGGCTCCTGCTGTTACCATTAGCATATCAGAAGCCGGTTTGCCTCCTTGTCCTCATCTTGAGTATGATGTAAAATTAAGTTCAAGTTCCCAGGCTCTACATGCCTGAGACGGGATACAATCCAAAAGTTCAATGCTTGCTGCTTAGAATAAAACAATAGATGATAAATACGTGTTCTGCTTGAATTAAAGATAAATGTATGTTCGGTTAGAGGTAAGATCGTTACATCCTATGTTCCTTACTCCCAGAAAGCTGGAAAGCCCCCAAGAGCTCTCCTACCCTAACTCCCTAGGTACCTAGATACAACACAATACACTTGGAACAAAACGGATCATGTTTAGCTAGTCAGAATGATGTAATGCTGCCTCCACCCCACTTCTAACAGCTGGGTACGTGGCTGTTACCTAGCTAAGGTTTTTCCTATAAAATATCTGCTTAGAAACAGACCGGTGTCATAGTCTGACTCCCAGATTATGTCCCAGACTGGTCAGTGTTTGTTCAGTGTTCAATAAACTTCCATCAGTCTGAGCCTGGTATCTGAATGGTCAGTGCGCAGCTATTCCTGAACCCATAACAGTCAGGTCAGAGAAAAGGTAAAAAAGCAAAACAATCTAATGAAACAGCTTGTTTTGAAAGAAAGGGTTAATCCTAACCAACCTTGCTGCCAGAGTTAGAGGAGGGTCCACCCAGGGTTACAAGATCACCATCAGCTTTCCCAGTACACAGCATATGCCCGCTAATGGTGTGGAACAAGGTTATGACTACATAGGATGACATCCTTTAGAAATGACAGATCTAAGGCAGCTTAAAGAGGCCATAATTTCATATGGGATGCAGTTATGTGAAACAAATTCTAAATAAATGGGCTACTCAAAATAGAATTATTTACTAAGACTGAAAGGGATTGGTAACTGCTGTACAATAGCCCAGTCTAAAGTTGCAATGGTTTACCTGGTGGAAGGAAGAAGCCATTGATATTGAACAGTGAAATACACTGAGGGGAATGAATATATGAATATAATAAAAGACCAGTTCCTGGGGGAAAGGTGGTATTCTGATATAAAAGAACAGATTCAGTTTGATGATGCTATTATAGAACAATGTTGTTTAGTGGCTTTAAGAGCTTGGGACAAGGTTGAGCCAAGAAAAAAGTCCACCTTGTTTACAAAGATTATACATGGCTCTGGAGAAGCCTTCATGGTTTTTGTTTGTTTTGTTTTGTTTTTGTTTTCATTTTACAAAGATTAGTCTCAGCTGTGAATAAAGTCGTATCAGACCCTGGTGCAAGGCAGGTGTCGATAGAGACCTTGGTGTTTGAAAATGAATGTAAAGAAAAAAAAATGTTATTAGACCAATAAAGGCGGGAGCAGCACCTATGCATGAATGGAGATGGGTTATGACAAATGTTGGTTCTAACATGTACCATGCCAGTATAATAGATCAAGCTAGTGGTTCCAACATCAAAATGCCTGGTGCTTCAATTGCAGGAAATGTGGTCAGTTTGCAAAGAGACTGGGACCAAGCCACCAAAGGTTTCAGATCTCAAAATGCCTGGTAGTTCAATTGTGAAAAATATGGTTATTTGTCAAAAAAAAAAAAAAAAAAAAAAAAAACATGAACAAGGCATCTCTAAGCGTAGTGGTTTTTCTAAATATAAACCAGAAAGAAAGCCTAGGGTTCCGGGATTGTGGAGGTGATGTGGCAAGGGTTTCCATTCAACTAAAGAGTGTATGTTTAAAAGAGATATTCAAGGTCATGTTTTACCTTTAGGAAGCAACCTTGGGCCCCGCAGCAAAACTTACAAGCCAAGAAGTAACATGCAGACAGAAAAACCTTCACTTGACATTGGAGATTTAATGCATGCCACTGCAGTCAGCATGACTCTAGACTTGGCCACAGGTAAACATTTTACTCTATTTCTAAAAGTTCAGTTTTATAAAATATCTACTGGAGTTTATGGTCCTTTGCCCTCAGGACGATAACTATGATCTTGGGAAGGATGGGATTGACTTCCCAAAAAGTCATTGTACACCTAGGAATTATAGATGAAGATGTCAAAAAAGAAGTTGAAATTATGGCTTACGTAAAAATATAAATGCAGTTTAATGTAGGTGGTGGGGTTGCTCAGCTGCTACTGTTTCCCTACATCAAAGGTAATGCTGCTCCAGTAGAAAGAACAGGAGGGTTTAGAAGTATTAAGAAAAAAATGTGTGTTCTGGCAAACAATTGTTAGTGACAAGAGGCCAAAATTAAAATTGCAAGTAAAAGGTATTGAAATAGACGGTTTGATAGATACAGAAGCTGATGGAACTATCATTTCACAAAAATCTTGGAATTCAGAAGGGCCAAAAGGTTTATACCCAGTTTCTAGGAATTGGAAAGTTATGTCAGATAAAATAGTGTAAGGTCATTTGTGAGCACAGTTTGGAGGGGCTGGAGACATGGCTCAGTGGTTAAGAGCACACACTCTTGCAGAGATCAGAGTTTAATTCCCAGACCTACAGCAGGCAGTTTTCTGTAACTTCAGGAGATCTGATATCCTTCTGATGTTCTCCTGAACGCGCGTGTGCACAGACACGTAATAATTTTTAAAATGATTTTTAATCATATTTGGTAAGCTTTTTGCAGAGTACGGTTCTTGAAACTATAGCTGCTTACCTAGATGGAACAATCAAGAATACTATTATTATTAGGCAGAGACCAGGGATATCTTAAGAAGACAAAAATGGCGGTTAGTCCTTCTGATTAACTTATGTATCATTCAAGTGACCCATCATGTTGTGGTAAAATGGGCTTAAGATCATGAGTCATTGAATTGTCCCAATCTTGTTTTCTGGATTGTTCCTTCTGGAAAGTTGGTTAGAACAAATAAGAAACATTTTTGTTTGGTTTGTTGGTTTGGTTTTCTGGAGACACAGTCATACTGTGTAGCCCTGGCTAGCCTGGAACTCTCTATGTTGACCAGGCTTGCCTCAAGCTCCCAGGGATTAAAGGGATAGGCCAACACATCTGACAAAAAAAAAAAAAAAAAAAAAAAAAAAAAAAAAAAAAAAAAAAAAAAAGGAAGTGGGTATGGTCCCCAAAACCCACATAATAATGCCAGGCATGATGGCAAATCATAACTAACTTATGTATAAATGCCAGGTGTGATGTGTCCTGCCTTCCTGAGGATGGAGGCAAGGTGGCCCTCCCGCCTCCATGCACATACATACGGATTATTGATTTACTTACTTTCCTATTTACTTATTAACTGAGTCAGGGTCTTACTACATTGCTGTGGCTAGCCTGGAACTCACTCTGTAGACCAAGCTGGTCTCAGACTTATAGACATCCTCCTGCCTCTGCCTCCTGAGTGCTGGGATCAAAGTTGTACACCACCACACTTGGTCCTCAAAGGTGTAAAGGTGTGCACATAAAAAAAAAAGGATAAGGGGTTGTGGAAATTGCTTAGCTGTTAAGAGCTCTTGCAGAAGACCTGAGTTGGGTTCTCAATCTCCATATGGCAGTTCACAACCACCTGTAACTCCAGCCTTATCTCATTTATGCCCCTTCCTCTCCTCTAGAGGGCACAATGTGCACAGACATGCGTACAGGCAAAACACTCAGATACTTAAAATAATTAAATCTCTCTTTCAAGGGAGGGGGTGCTGAGCATGGTGGCATGCATCTCAGATCCCAGCATTCTGGAGGCAGAGGCAGAGGCAGAAGCAGAGGGATCTGTGAGTCTGTGACCAGCCTTGGCTTACACAGTGAGTTCCAGGACAGCCAGGCAAATCCCTGTCTCAAACCACCGAGAGAGAGAGAGAGAGAGAGAGAGAGAGAGAGAGAGAGAGAGACATTCATCTGGTACGTTTATCTGGTTCAGCCCCTTGACCTGAGGTTCAAAGATGGAAACAAACCCATTATACTTAGAAAGTGGGGAACAAGTCAGAGGCAGTGGTGCGCACTTGTAGTCCCAGCATTTGAGAGGTGGAGAGCGAAGATTAGGAGTCCAGGGACACCCTCTGCCTTAAAGTGACTTTGAAGTAAACCTCACCTAAATGAGACACTGTCTCAAAAACAGACAGTTGGGGCTCTGGAGAGAGGCATCAGTGGCTGATTCCCATCGCCTACACAGCACACCCGGCTTCATAGAGAGACCCTGCCTCAATAAGGAAAAAAAAAAGTTTTACTATACATTTAAATTCTTTTTATTATTTTGTTAGGCAGAGCAGGTTGGGGGCATGGTTGGAGGGTGATGACACATGGAAGTAAGAGGAAACTTTGTGGAATCCTCTCTCTTTTTTTCACCTCTACATGGCTCCCTAGACTCAAACTGAAGTTGTCAGGCTTTAGCAGCAAGTTTTGTTTTGTTTTTGTTTTTTTGCCTACTGAGCCAACTCACCAGTCCTCACGTATATTTTCTAAAACAAATTATTCAAATAGTAAAACATATGTTGCTATTCTAAGCCAAACATACATGTACACACTGACCTAACCATTCAGGAGCTGTTTAATTTTTCTGTTTACTATCCCCAAGCTGTACATTTTTCTCTGATACTGCAGCCAGGCGCATCTAACACACCAGGAAACGATTTGAAGTTAATTGTCTGGGGAGACTGGCTGTCTTTCATTCTTTCTCCCTTTCTTACTATTCACTCAGTGTCTTACTCTCGTCTTGTGTTTCCAGTCCTCCCACGTCTCTTCTGTCTTTCTCCACCCATTCGTTTATTTCCCTTAGAATCTAAAGCTTAGATGCTGTGGCTGCTCTGTGCTCAGGCCTGGCCCACCTGTCATCTGCAACCCAAGCCTGAAGCCTGAGTGGCCACCCTCAATTCCAAGAGCTTCTCTGGTCAAGGGAGGAAATTCCGCTCATGCTGAGGTCAGTGGAAGGCTCTCTTTACGGCTGAACAGGATTTATGGCAAAACACGCACTTCTGACCCTGGCCAGGTGCACGCCCTTTTCCTAGTGGCAACCTGTTCCGAGGGGAGGCCCTTTCCCCGGCCATTTTTTTGCCAGTCTTAGTCTCCACCTTCCCGTCTTTAGAGATGGACCTTGTGAGCCCATTCCTTGTCGCAGACCCGCTCTGGAGGTCTCAGCCTTCCCTCCCCTCTCCCGCGTTCTCTTTTTGTCACTGCAGAGAAAAGGCGGCTGCGGCCCCGCGAGGCTCCAGTGCGGAGCCGCTCCGCTCCTCCTGCCCGCAGGGGGCGCTGTGGGGCAGAGGGACGGCTTTGCTGCACCCGGGTCCCGGCTGGCGCTGGGTTTGGGGCGCGTGGGGGCGGTGGCCCGGGTCGGGGCGGATCGGATGACCGCGGTGTCGCCGGGGCTGGGGCTCAGGCTGGGCGCGTCCACGCTGGTCATGGCCGGACCCGCTCGGGTAAGGCCCCGCGCGGACCGGGCTCAGGGCTGGGCGGGACCGCGGGCTGCGCGTGCCGCGGCGGCGGGTCCTCTGCAAAGCGGGGTCCGCGGCGGCGGGTCCCCTGCAAAGCGGGGTCCGCGGCGGCGGTCGCCTGCGCCACCGTCAGGCTGCGCCTTCACAGCCTTGTCTCGCGAACAGAGCAAACGCCCTCGGGTGCGGGCGGGGTTCCGAAGGTTTGCAGCGGTGTCCTGCGGGGTAACCAGGTCATAATTTAGCCGCACACGGGCGTTCATTGCGTTCACGTTGAATTTTTGAGTGAAGGACCTCACGCTAGGAGGGTAGAAAAGGACAGTAAAATCTGCATGAGCACGCTCTGTTCGATTATTTCGTGTTTTGCTGAAATCAGGGTGTAAATGGGTATGGATCGTTTTATTATGCTGTTCTAACTGCTCTGATAAGCATTCTTGATTATTAAATAAGGCTGGAATAAAACACCCTGTACATTCCTAACAAATGCAGAGTTTTTCAGAATTAACTATGTAGAAGACAGGTAGCACGTTTATAAACAGAATTTTGAGTAAATGGAAGATGGCCATTCCTGTAGATGAAAAAATAAACAAAACATTTTTCCAATTAGCACATAAATCCTTTTCAGTTTTACGAAATGACAGATATTTGTGAATCTATTCAAAATAGATAATAAGGCTCAGTTGCGAAAATCAGCAGTTCTCCCTAATCCAGAGGACATTAACTAACCCCGCAGATGCCTAACGCGGAGTATAGTGGAAGCGCTGATGGAATACTTGACCATTT